AGCAGCCACTGCACTCCAGTCTGGGTGATAGAGTGAGACTCCAACTCAAAAAAAATAAAATTAAATTAAAATTAAAAATAAAATTACCATATGATCCAGCAATTTCACTTCTGGGTATGTTCCCAAAAATTCAAATCAGAGAATTGAAGGGATATTTGTATATCCATGTTTGTAACAGCATTGTTCACAATAGATAAAATTTGGTAGCAACTCAAGTGTCCATTGATAGATGAATAAAAGCAAAATGAGGTAAGTACATACAATGGAAAACTATTCAACCCAAAAAAGGAAGGAAATAATGTTCTGGCATATATTCTACAACATCAAGGACCTTGAGGACATTGTGCTAAGTAAAATAACCCAGTCAGAAAAAGACAACACCATGTGATTCCCCTTATATGAGGCACTTAGAGTAGTCAACATTATAGAACTAGAAGGAGAATGGTGGTTGCCAGGAGCTGAGGGGAGAGAGGGGATGAATACAGAGTTTCAGTTTTACAAGATGAAAATAGTTATGAAGATGGATGGTGGTAATGATGGCATAATACACTGAATTTTATACTTAATGGTTCAGATGATAATTTTTACATTGTGTATATTTTACCAACAATAAAAAATGGGGGGAAAAAACATGATGTTATATACATAATTAAATAGTATGAGTAAAATTGAAATGTGTAACTGTGTCAAGTGCTGGTCAGAATATGGCATAACTGGAACTTTCATTTACTGCTAGTAGAAATGCAAAATAGTTTTAGCCAGTTTGGAAACTTTTTTTTTATTTTAAGAGACAGAGCCTCTCTCTGTCACCCAGGTTGGAGTACATGGATGTGATCATAGCTCACTGCAGCCTTAAATTCCTGGGCTCAAAAGTGATCCTCCTACCTCTGTCTCTCAAAGTGCTGGGATCACAGGAGTAAGCCACCATGCACAGCGTGAAAAACTAATTTTTTTTTAAGTTAAACATGAACCTATCATAGGACTCTACAAATCCACTCCTCAGTATTTACAAAATAAATATGAAAGCACACCTTTGCATAAAGACTTTTTGCATGAATTGTCACAACAGTTATATTCATAAAAGACAAAAACTGGAAAGAAAACAAATGCCCATCAACAGATTACTGAATTGACGAATTATGATATTTCCATAAAACGGCATACTTCTCAGCAATGAAAAGAAAGGAACTACTGATATACACCACAGGGTAAATGAAATTCCAAATAACTATGCTGAGTGAAAGAAGCCAGAGGCAATACATAATACATGATCCCACGCATATAAAGCTCTAGAAAATGCAAACATCTATCATGATAGAAAGCAAACTAGCAATTCCATGGTAACAGAGTTGAAGGAAGGAATGAATTACAAAGAGGAATTGTTTGTTATGTTTATTACACTGACAATTTCAGGCATCTATATGATAGCTCCAGGCATCTATACGCATACATGTCAAGACTCATCAAGTTGAATACTTTACACATGCGCTGCTTATTTTCTGTCAATTATACCTTAAGAGAGTTGTAAAAAAAAAAAATGGCTCATAAGATTATTGTAGGAGTAAGACACTGCAACTAGTAAGTTTTTAATGAGCCTGTAAAATGCTGTCATTCTGTAAGAAACACTTGATAAACATTACTTTCTATCACCGTTACGTAACAATTGAAAAAGGATTTGTACAACTAATTCAATGTTTAAAGCACCTATAATGTACCTTAGCTTCTTCCTCTTGTGCTTTTTTCACAATTGCTTGTAATTGTACCTCTCGTTTAAACTCAGCATGAAGTAATTTCTCTTCCATCATCCTACGTCGTTGATCTAGTAATTCTTCCTTCCATTTCCGGACATCCTTCTCCTATGTATAGTAAATTGTCATTAATTTACACATACACAATCATTTAACAGTGTACAAAGAGAAAAATGAGGGCCGGGCGCAGTGCCTCAGCCTGTAATCCCAGCACTTTGGGAGGCTGAGACGAGAGGATTGCCTGAGCCCAGGGGTTCGAGACCACTCTGAGCAACTTGGTGAGACCTCGTCTCTACAATAAATCACAAAAACTAGCCGGGCGTGGTGGCATTCATCTGTAATTCCAGCTACTTTGAGGGCTGAGGTGGAAGGATTGCCTAAGTCCAGCAGGTTGAGGCTGTGGTGGCTGTAAGCATGCCACTGCACCCCAGCCCGGGCTACAAGAGTGAGACTCCAACTCAAAAAAAAAAAAAAAAAAGAGAGAGAGAGAGAAATGGCTTATGAAATATGAAATCTGAGCCTGGGAAGATGTGCCAGAGCATGACAAATGATTGAGGACACAGATCATGAAGCCAAAATACCTAAATTCATAATCTGCGTTGACCACTTACTGTGTAACCTAGACAACTTGTTTAGTCTATGTATCAGTTTCCTTATCTATAAAAAGGGAATAATAAAAGTACATAATTCATAGAGTTATCTTGAAGATTCAGTTTAAATACGTAAAACTCTTATTAGAACACTGGATTGGCATGGCTCTATAGAAATATTTGCTGTCATCATTGTACTGCACCATGAGTACACTTAAAATGCATATAGTGTAATTTTTATCTTTATAAACCTTAATGCTCTATAATAAAACCCACATTCAAGAAAAATAATTTTGTCCTAGAGACTAAAAAATGTCAAAAAGTCTGAAAAATCACATTATTTACATAAGAAACATTCTCTGAAGGAACAGAGAGGGTTTGCCTACAGAATGTAGATGGATATAATAACTGCCTTTAATTCCTTAAAACAATATGAAACAAAAGAAGTAAAATACTTGTTCTGTGCTCTAGGAAATAAAATTCATCATCAAAGAAAACAAATCATAGAAAATCAGAAGTTGGATCAATATGAGTAGGAAAAAAACCTAACATTTCAGTTGAGTTTTATCTACTTAATAATGTGTTAAACTATCCCAAAAAAGTATGATGTAATAACAACACTGTACTAAGGGCTAGAGGACACATCCTTAAAATCTAATCTCTGCAAATTAATGATTGTGTGATACTGGAAACAATTAGACTTCCCAAGATCCAGTTTTCACATCTGTAAAATGGGATTGATATCTACCCTGTGTACCTCACAGACTTATTGTGGTGATCAGATGAGACCACGAATGTAGAAAAATGTTGAAAACAATAACCTAACATACAAATAGAAGATGGAGTTTATCATTAAAATTAAGAGGATACCTATATTGGTTAGAAACATAACCAGAGAACATCTAAAGTCTATTATTGTCTGCATAAATACCTGCATATCACATTATATACTGATAAAATATATTACATAATTCTATTTGTATTGAAAAGTACAGTAAGAGAAGAAATATGGTTGCTAGGGCACTTCCTAGGCTAAAAATAAAGTAATATATTAATTCATGGAATCTGACAACATAGGAACTGCTTTTCATATCTAATTTATTCATTCTAAATGACCAATTTTTGAAATTCAGGTAAAAAGAAAAGCCACAGAATTTTCTTCAGTCCCAGTCAATACTATTATGGTATAAAGAAGATTTTGAGCTATCTAACTCATTTTTATAAATGTTCAGATTATTTTGTCCAATTACCTCTCCAAATTTAAACTACCTTAAAAGTAATAAAATAATATGCTTAAACTATGTATATTAATCCTTTTTAGTACCAGAGGTAACAAGAGTTTACCTGTAATGACAATACAGCAGTCATACATCTTTTGTCATACTGTGTGAAGTACTTGCTTGCACTAAGATGATGCCATGATTTAAGCCCTCTGGTATTAAGATTCCTGAATAATTTCCTCCCACACTATATCAGGATTGTGACCAAAAGAATATAGCAAAAAGGATGAGATGAAAGATGGTGATGTTTCCATTTAATCAACTCTCTTGCTAACTTTTCCTCTCTCCTCTCTAATTACTCTCTATGAGGAAACTATTTGCCATGTCATGTAGACACTTGGGCTGTAGAAAGGCACACTTTGCAAGAAAATGAGATTTCTAGTCAGCAGCCAAAGAGAAACTGAGGCCTGCAAATAATGACACAAAAGAGTCTGGAAGTGGATCTTCCAGCCCAAGATGACCACTACACTGACAGCCTGACTGAAACCTCATCAGACACAAAAGAATCACTAAACAAGCCACTCCTGGTTTCCTTTCTCACCAGAAATCCTGAGCTAATAATTTGCTGTTTTAAGCTGCTAAGTTTTAAGGTCATTTTTTAAGATCGCATAGATAAATAACAGTACACATCTATCTCTGGCAAATGAAAGTAACAAAAGATATTGCTCATATGTTAAGGAAAAATCCATTCTTGCACTATGCTACTGTTTTATATACTTGCCTCATTTAAGTTTCACAACAGATTAATAATTGTCATTTTCAAAAAAAGTGATATACAATAAAGTTAAGTAAATTTCCCAGAGCATCATAGCTTATTCTATGATAAAATCAGACTTTAATCTGGGTTGACCATCTCCAGAGCCCATGTCATTTCCACTACACTACAATGATCAATAGTTAACACTGTTCTAAATAGACACAGTCTTTTCTGTAAATATAGTTAGCACCCAACTTATTCAAACCTGATCATCATTTTTTGTTGTTGAAAATAATGGGGTTTTTCTCTCTCTTAATCAGTTTATATTCCATCACATTAACAGATTTTCTAATGAAAAGAGTCTTTGAATTTCAAGAATAAGTCCAACTTTTCCTATGGTGTTATGGGTTTTTATTTATTTTTTTGTTAAATATAGTCATAATACTGTGCATACATAATCAAAAATTACACATTTTTCATAAGAAAAACTTTGTACTCCTTGACCAATATTATTCCATCTCCTCTTCTCCCTAGCAACCATCATCCTACTCTATGCTTTTATGAATTTGACTATTTTAGATTCTACATATAAGCAAGATCATTAAGTTTTTCTCTCTGTCTTGATTATTTTGCTTGGCCTAATGTGCTCTAGCTCTATCCATGCAGTTGTAAACAGCAGAATTGCATTCTTTTTAAGGATGGATAATACATGTTATATTTTTCTTTATCCATTCATTTGCCACTTAGGTTGTTTCTGTATCTTGGCTATTATGAATAATGCTACAATGAGCATCAGTGTGCAGATATTTATTCTTGATGCTGATTTCTTTTTTTTTTCTTTTCCCTTTTTTTATTTTAAAGATGTGGGGTACAATTCAGGGTTAGGTATACAAATGTTCATTATGCAGGTACCCTTGTCAATGAGATATGCACCTCCTCCCCTGGCAGTTTCCCACTACTGCCAGACCCATGCTCCCCCCCCCACAACCCGAGACAGTTTCCCACTACTGCCAATTCTTTTCTTATGGTATTAAGGTAATTGGTTCAAAGTCCGCTTATGAGTGAGAACATGTGATACTCAGTTCTTTGTTTCTGTGATAGATCACTCAGTATTAAAGACTCTAAGTCCATCCAAGTTGCTGTGAAGTTCATAATTTTGTCCTTCTTTGTGGCTGTGTAATATTCCATCATGAATATGTACCACGTATTTCTTTTATCCAGTCCTCTTCTGATGGGCAGCACGGCCAGTTCCGTGTTTTTGCTACTGTGAACAATGCTGCAATAAACATGCATGTATCAGTATCTTATTCATAGAGTGATTTGAGTTCCTCCAGGTATATTCCCAGTAGGGGGATTGCAGGGTCATATGGAAGGTCGATTATTAGATCTTTTAGGAATTGTCAAGCTGTTTTTCACAGAGGTTATACTAGTTTACATTCACACAAACAGTGTAGAAGTATTCCCTTTTCCCCGCATCCTTTCCAGCATCTGTTGTTCTTTGAATTATTGATGACGGCCATCCTGACTGGAGTTAAGTGGTATCTCAGTGTGGTTATAATTTGCATTTCTTTGATGACTAGTGAGGCTGAGCATTTTTTCATGTATCTGTTGGCTGCTCATGTATCTTCTTTTGAAAAGTGCCTATTCATATCTTTTGCCTACTTTGTAATGGGGCTGTTTGGTTTTTTTTTTCTTTTCAACACGTTTAAGTTCATTGTAGAGGCTAGATGCTAGGCCTTTAGTCAGAAATTCAGTTGGCAAATATTTTTCCCAGTCTATGGGCTGTCTCCCTGCTCTCGTGATGGTTTCTTTGGTTTTGCCAAAGCTTGTCAGCTTGATGAGGTACCACTTATCTATCTTTATGGCATAGACAGATCCTGATTTCAATTCACTTGGATATATACCCAGAAGGATTGCTGGATCATATAATAGGTTCTATTGTAATTTTTTTGTTGTTGTTGAGTTGGAGTCTCACTCTGTAGCCAAGACTGGAGTGCAGTGGCCGCTCCCGGCCACCGCAGCCTCGACCTGCTGGGCTCTGGCGATCCTTCCGCCTCAGCCTTCCAAGTAGCCAGAATTACAGGCGCGCACCACCACGCCCGGCTAATTTTTTGATTTACTGTAGAGATGAGTTCTCGCCTGCCCAGGTGGGTCTCAAACCCACGGGCTCAGGCAATCCACTCACCTCAGCCTCCCAAAGGCGCGGGATTACAGGCTGAGCCACTGAGCCCGGCTCTATTTTAATTTTTTGAGGAAACTCCATATAGCTTGCCATATTGGTTGTAGTAAATTATATATTCCACCAACATATGAAGGTTTCCTTTTCTCCACATCCTCCCCAAGACTTGCCTTTTGTTATTTTGCTAATAGCCATCCTAACAGATATGAGGCAGTATATCACTGCACTTTTGATTTGCATTTCCCTGATGATTACAGATGCTGAACACCTTTTCCTGTGAAAAGCCATTTCAATTTATCCTTTTGAGAAGTGTCTCTTTAGATTCCTTCCTATTTTGAAGCAGGTTGTTGCTCTTGCTGCTGTTGTTATTTAGTTATTTTGGATATTAGCATCTTATCTATGTCTTACAAATATTTTTTCTTTTTTCATAATTGTCTTTTCGTTTTGCTCATTTTTTCATTGCTATTTGGAGAGAATATTTTCACTGGAGAGAAGTAGTGAAAGTGGGCATCCTTGCTTTTTACCAAATCTTAGAGTAAAAGCTTTCGTTTTTTTCTCATTAATTTGATAATAGCTGTATGTTTTTCATATATATGGCTGTCTTAGTCTGTTTTGTGATGCCATACAGAATACCAGAGACTGGTAATTTAGAAAGGAAAAAAAACTAGCACAGTTCTGGGAGGCTGGAAGCACCTGATAAGGCCTTCTTGCTGCCTCATCCCATGGAGAAAAGTGACAGGATAAAGACAGGAAAGGGGAAGGGGCACATCCTTTTATAAGGAACTCACTCCCACATAACAAACTCATCCTTGTGATAATGGTATTAATCTATTCATGAGGGCAGAGCCCTCATAACCTAATCACCACTTAATTTTCAACATGTGTTTTGGAAGAGACAAACATTAAAACTATAGCAATGGCCTTTATTGTGCTGACAGTATTACTTTGTATACCTATTATGTTGAGGGATTTTTTTCATGAAATTATGTTGAACTATGTCAAGTGTTTTTCCTGCATCTATTGAGATAATCATATGGTTTTTGTATCTCATTGTATTAATGCTATATATCACACTTAATGGTTTTTATATAGTCAACCATATTTGCATTCCAGATAAATCCCACTCAAGCATGGTATACGAACCTACTAATGCCCTATTGAATTTGCTAGTATTTTGATGGAGATTTCTGCACTTGTATTCATGTGGGATACTGTTCGGTAGTTTTCCTTTCTTACATTGTCTTTGGATTTGAAATAAGGATGATGCTGGCTTCCTAACACAAATTTAAGAGTTGTAAAAGACAGAAAGAGCAAGCTGTTAATCCTACTCTCACACACAACACATAACAATTCTGTTCAGCAAAATGTGTGTGAGATTTTTCCCTTACTGACCACTTCTCTAACACCAGCTGGCTGTTCTATAATTCAATTCAATTTTGACATTATCTACTTGGTCCCACAGGTTAAGGGCTCAGTCACACAAGATTGCTGTGCCCCACTTCAGGTGCCAATCATAAAAGGCAAGTCTAGTGATGACATACTCCCTAAATGTTTGTGTATCAGGGAAAGACTTTATCTCCTCTTCATTTTTAAGGATAGCTTTTTACAGTATAGTATTCTTGGTTGACCTGTACTTCTGAAGAACCAGCTATAAACTAGGGGTTCTCATAACTCCCTCTTCAAATGTAATGCTCTAGAGTGGCCCACAGGAATCAAGAAAACACTTAACTTAATATCGCTGATTTATTACACAGGAAATGTTACAGGAAACAAATGAACTAATGGAAAAGATACATAGAGCAAGGCACAAAGGAAGGAGTATGAAGCTTCCATGACCTCTCCGGGTGTACCACCTTCTAGGCACCTCCACATGTTTAGCATCCTAGAAGCTCTAGGAACTCTATTCTTTTGAGATTTTTTTTTTTTTTTGGAGATTTCATCACACAGGCCTAACTGATTAAAGCATTGGCCATTGGAGATCAAATGAATGTGGTGGTGAAAGTTCTGGCAACCAGTAGCCATCCTGAGGCTATCCAGGAGACCATCAGGAATAGCCCCAGAACAAAAGGTAGCTTTTTTAAATTCATTCAGTCATTCTATGAATTTTGATTGGGAAGTTTAATCCATTAATATTTAAAGTAATTATTGATAGATAAGGGCTTACATTATCATTTTGTTACTTATTTTCTGTTTTGCAGGTTTTCTGTTCCTCTATTGCTGTCTTTTTTGTTACTTGATTCTGGGTTTTTAGTACAATGGTTTGACTGTATCTCTTTATTTCTATTTTTTGTGTATATACAAATAGGTTTTGCCTTTCTGGTTATAATCATCTATTTTAGTATGATAACAACTTTAGTTCAATTTGCCTACAAAAACCTTACACTTTTATCCACCAACAAACTTTGTGTTCTTGAAGTCAAAATCTACTGCTTTTTATATTATGAATACATTACCAAATTTTTGTCATTATAGTTAAGCTTAGTACCTGTGTCTTTTAATTTTTATATTGGAGTTACTGGTTGTTTGTGTACCACTATTACAGTATTATGTTATTCCACATTTAACTGTATATTTACCCCTACAGTGAACTTTATATACACTTTTATATGCTTCTATGTTGCTGTTTATTGTATTTCCAATTCCACTTTAATAACTCCATTAGCATTTCTTCTAAGGCAAGTCTAGTGATGACATACTCCCTAAATTTTTGTATATCTAGGAAAGACTTTATCTTCTCTTCATTTTTAAGGATAACTTTTTACAGTATAGTATTCTTGGTTAACAGGTTTTTTTCTGTTTTTCTTTTCTTTCAGTACTTTGAATATGACAATCCATTGTCTCCTGGCCTGCAAGGTTTCTATTATAGAACTTACTGATCATTTTCTTGGGAGTAAGGGAGCACCCCTTGTATATGATGAGTTGCTTTTCTCTTGCAACCTTCAAAATTCTTTGTCTTTGAGTTTTGACAACTTATTATAACAAGTCTTGGTGCACACTTCCTTACCTTCAACCTATTTGGGGTTCTATAAGCTTGAGTCTAAATATCCATTTCCCTTTCCAGATTTAGGAAATTTGGGCTTATTATTTCTTTTAAAAAGCTTTCTCTCCCCTTCTCTCTCTTCTTGTCTTTTCTGATTCCTATAATATATATATGTATTCATTCAATAATGGTGTCCCACTAATCCTAGAGGCTTTCTTCATTCTTTTGACTCCTCTTGTTGGATAGTTTCAAATGACCTGTCTTCAAGTTCTCTGATTCTTTCTTCTGCTTCACCTTGTCTACTGTTGAAGCTCCCTATTGCATTTTTTAGTCCATTCATTATAATCTTCAATTACAGAATTTCTGTCTTTTTTATGGTTTCTATCTCTTTCTTGAACTTCCCAATTTGTTCCACTGTTTTTCTGATTTTGTTAAATTATGTATCTGTTATTTTACACTTTACTGACCTTTTATAGAAAGTTATTTTGAATATTTCATCAAGCAATTCATGGCTCTCCATTCGTTTGGGTTGCTTGGTGATGTCGGGTTTTTTTCCTGATTTTTCGTGTGCCATGTATCCTATTATTGTATGAGCATTTAAAGAAGCAATCATCTACACTTTATAGACTGGCTTCAGTAAAGAAAGGCAGTCACTCAGATGGGAGCATTGAATTCCTGTTGGGAATTCAGGAGCATATTGTTGTACTAGGCCCAATGGCATACAGGATGACAACAGTGGGGAAGTGTAACACTTCTGGGGCCAGAAGTATACAGTAGCATGGCAGCTCAAGGAGCTGGGGTTGGCAACATCAGTAATTGTGTGGTCCTTGGCTGCAAAAGCTGCAGAAGGTTTGCAGTGGCTGCAAAGGCTGTTGGGATCCTCAGCAGTACCTCTGTGTTTAAAAAGTCAGGACACTTATGTAGGTAGGAGTCAAGGCAGGTAGTGGTAGGGCCCAGGTGGAGTTTGGCTGCAGGCATGTGTCTGACAATGGGGGCCATGGGCAGCTGTGGACATGTGCAAGCATGGCTATTTGGCCAGCAGTGCATGAATATGCACTGACAACCATGGGGCAGAGTGATACCTTCCAACCCTGTGGCTGAGAGGGTTGGCATATATATTCGGTAGCAAAAACCAGAGTCTATAGCAAGGACAAGGGCTGGCTATGGGCAAGTACACACCATAAACCTTATCATCTTAGGCTCCAAATTATCCTACCAGGCCATTCTACACTTTGAACAAACCACTCCAAGGAATCTCTCCAATGAAAATGGCAAAAAACGGAGCACAGCTTCAAAAATCCATGCCAATCCTGCAAAGTATCTATTTACTTCATATACTTCATAATTTAAGAGTGATACATTATTTTCTAAAGTTAACCTTCTGGGATTCAATAGGTATAAATGCCTTTATTTCCTAGCAAATTTAGTTATTTTTATAATTGTCTCAGTTTCTCTCAGACAAGAAAAAGTCTATTTTAAAATAAGCAGACCAATTTAAAACTATTATAATTTCCTAAAAAAAAAAACTTACTCTTTCTAATAATTTCTGAAGCTTTAATGTTTTCTCTTCACGTAATTTTTCCCTTAGCTGCTGTGCTTTCATTTGCTTTTCTTCATGTTTCTTCTTAGATTCTGCAATTGTTCTATTAATACAAACAAATGGACAAGAGACATAAATGTTTACATGATAACTCAACAAATAGTGTTCTTCTTACTTAAAAGTTCTTAAAATTTACAAAACTACTTTTGGCTTAACATTTCAGGAAAGCGTTGTCAGTTTTCAATGGATCCAAAACTGTCCTACACCTAGTAATGTACCTAAAAAGGTCAAGAAGCAATTCAATTTAATAGTCAAGAGTGGTGGTTTCCCTCCTGTGAGAGATTTCAAAATGATTTTCAAATGCTAGACCTTTTACGAGATGGTGAAGAGAGTTTTTCATGCATGTGAATTCCATGGCCTGGAGGTCTAGCAGGTTCCTCTTCTACAATATCCCCCCAGGATGTATTTTGACGCCAGGATTCGCGAGCTGTTCAGAAAAAAGAAAATCACTATTATTGTTTATTGACATAACTCTATAATACCAATACTTGAGAACTTTTAAAACACAACAGCATTCCCACTCTCAGTTATTTATTTTACAAAGAAACTCTAAGAAACAACATAAACTATTTTATAACACAGTCCCTGCACACCAAATACACACACACACACACACACACACACACACACACACACACACTACCTTCATAATCTGCAAGGACATCATTCCAGTCCATTGACATACCACAGAAGGATATACTGCCACTGCCCATGCTGGCCTAAAATTAAGGAAAATTGAAAATCAAATCTTTGAACACAATTATAACCATAAAAAATAAACTATACATGAAATTTTCCTAACTTTTGTTCATATTTATTTAACCAAAAGTTGAAAATCAGAAAAAAGCTACATACCTTGTGTAATCACAAAAGTCACCAACTTAAAATTCCACAAGCCTACACATTTTAAGAGCCTAGTAGCCATTAACAGCAGAGACAAATGGAAGAAAATTTAAAAAGAAATATACTGGCCTTATAGTATGATTGCATAAATGTCAACATACACAAAGCACATATTGACGAGTTCAAGATCATTTGACATGAAAATTTAATAAAACAGTATGTAAAACAGTTACTTTTACTCTTTATCAAACTCCCATAATCAACATTATATCCTAAGAACTTAACAACAGAAAGAAGTGTATCTTTTTTGTTGTTGTTAATAGACTACAAAAAGTAAAATACCTCAGATTCTTCTTCAGTCTCTACAAATTACAATCTGAGTAATGTTGAGTTCTTACTTTCTGTGAGACTCATTTCTTGACAGGTAAAATAAGAATTACAGCTTCCAACTTGTCAACAAAAATATTAGTAACAGTAAAGTACTAAAAAAAGATTTGCTATTGTTTAAGTCTAAATCATTCTGAGAATAATAATATTATTATTAAAGATGATTTTTAAATAAATAATTTTTTAAAGGGCTAGATGAATGCTAAGTCTTTCTGGCACTCTGAATTTTAATTCTAAATATAATTTTTGAACAATCGTGTTTAAAATTCTACAAGCTCACAGAAAAATCACTGTCGTTGTCAGTTTCAATGTTAATATCATTGTTTTCTTCAGCTTCAATTTCTCTAGTTAACTGTTCTTCTTCAGCAATAGCACTAGCAATGGCTTCTTCATTGGCCTTTTCCAGACGATCTGCTAGCTCTTCTTTTTTAGCAAGGACTTCTGCCATGGACTATAAAGTTAAAAACAAATACACAAAAAGAAAAACCATCACTGGACTGGAAAGTTAAGTAATCATTTCTTTCTTTATATTCTAATCATGAATTCAAGAGTATACATAAAATTGCACTGATCTAGCATCATAAAAGCTGGGGTCCTACACAGACTCATCCACTTGCTAGCTGTATGACTTAAAAGTTTCTTAAAATCAAGAACCTATTTATAATTCCACAAAATGAAACAATAATCCATGTCTTACCTTCTTAACATACTGCTATTATGAGAAACTGTGAAGTTATATGAATAAAAAGTAGCATTAATGACAAAGTGTGAATTTCATTTGAGTGGCAAAATTCAAAAATTACAGATCAAATATGCTAACTAAATATAAAATAAAAATAGTGTACTATACTGAGAGTGAGGGAAGAATACATGCTGTAATGATGATAATGTTTTCTAACCATACATATACCTAAGCTAAAAATGTACATTAAAAATAATACAAATAATATGCATGAGAAACATTAATAAATTCCCATGAAAAACTAAAGCTGTATACTCTCAACTCCAAATCAAACACTGAAATAACAAAACAAAGAGGTATGATTGATAAGCCAACAAAGGAGATAAAATGAAATTATAAAAAACAAAAGATGGGATGAAGAACACATGAGTCAAAGAGAAAACAAACAGTATGCTGATAGATTTAAACAAACCATATCAATAATCACATTACATGTAAATAGTAATTAACAAGCAGAGACTGTCAAATTCAATAAAAAGCAAGACCAAACCATGTGCTTCCCAACAGAAACCTAATTTAAATAAAAGACTATAAACAGATTACAAGTAAAAGATCTATACTAATCAAAAGAAAGCCGAAGTATTAGCAACAGACACATATTTCAGAGCAAAAAATATCACCAGGAATAAAAAATAGTCATTTAGTAACAACAAAAGGGTCAATTCATCAAAACAACAAAGCAATCCCAAATGGTCATGACCTAACAGAGATTCAAATTACATTAAGCAAAAATTGATAGAATTGCAAAAGAAAATTAACCTAATGAGAATATAAAATGTTGCAATCTCTTTGGAGAAGTCTAACGGTTCTTCAAAAGGTTAAGCATAGAGTTTCTATGACCCTGAGTACACAGACATATACCCAGAAGAAATAAAAACGTGTCCACACAAAAACATGTACGCAAATATTAAAGTTGCTTTATTCAGAATAGCTGAACAGTGGAAACAATCTACATGTCCATCAAATTATGAATGAATAAAATGTGGCATATATCCATACAGCGGAAGACTAGTTTTAGTTATAAAAAAGGAACGATGTACTAAGAAAAACTAAAACATGAATGAACTTTTGTAACACACTAAGTAAAAAAAGCCAGTCAACAAATGACCACATATTGTATTCCACTTCTATGAAATGTCCAAAATAGGCAAAACTATAACATGGAGAAAGCACAATGGTGGTTGTCGAGGGTTGGGGGAATGGGGATGGGGTACATGGCAGTAACTGCTAATGGACACTGGATATCTTTTTGGAATGATGACATGATGAAAGTGATCTAAAACTTATGGTGATGGTTGCATAATTCTGTGGATACACTAAAAAAAATGGTAAACTTTAAATAGATAAACTGTATTATATGTAAGTTATATCTCAATAAAGTTGTTTAAAAAAAGAAATAGATCCACAGTTACATTCAGACATTTCAATACCCCTCTCTCAACTGATAGAAAAAGCAGTCAAAAAATTGGTAGGTATATAGGAGACCTGAATAATACTATCAACAAAATTGATTTCATTATTTTCTCAAGATAAATGAAAATATATGTTCACACAAAGATGTGTACACACATGTTCACTGTACTTTCATAACAAAAAAACTTGAAGCAACTCAAGTATCTGGAGGCAATCCAATGAATAAACATATTATGTTACACGCATACAACAAAAAACTAGTAAGGATGATGAACTATTAATACATACAGCTACATGATTAAACCTCAAAATAAATATGCTGAAGTGAAAGAAGCCAAGCAAAGACTGCATAACTCACTTTATATAAAGTTCTCAAAATGCAAACTACTATACAGTGAAATAAAGCAGAAAAGTGTTTACTTGAGAAGGGGTACAGGGAAGAACAGCAAAAAGGGATTACAAAGGGGAATGGCAAAACATTTGGGGGCAATCTATATGTTTATCTTGATTGTAATAATGCAGTACATGTGTCAAATGTATCAATTTGTACACTTTAAACATGTGAAGCTCACTTAAAATCAACTACAACCTCAATAAAGGTATTAAAATACAAATGTTTGAGGCCCAGTTTATTTACATGCATTGGTATTTTGTTCAAGTTTCTCCTCTCCCCTCTCTAACTTGCACCTTCCACAAACACCCCAAAACACACAAAGGTTTTCCCTGAGGAACAGAATGGGCTGGAGAAGTTTAGAAAAGAGACTATTTCTGTGCATCATAAGCTCTTCTGTATAGACCCCAAAATACTACAGAAATTAACTGTTGTTAGTGTGCCACAAAACATTATGACTAATAACAATCAAAATCCAAATATTAAAGTTAAATATATTTGTTTACAGAAAGTAGGCTATCATAAGAACTTTATTTATTTCTTCTCTCAATTTTATCTTCCTTAGAATGTAACATTTCAATTTGTTACTATTGAAAAGCCTGAAAAGATTCTAACCTAATAGTAGAGCTATGGATAAAATTGTTTCAATTAACCATTCATAACTTTAACTATTTCCAGACAGTAAAATGCAAATAAATATTTTTGTACATCATTATTTGGAAAATTTCCAAATTTTCACTAAAAACTGAAAATGTTAGTAAATCCAAAAAGAATAGGTCAGAGGAAGTTGATCTAATATAAAAACAGCACATTTTTATAATGTTGGCAAAAGTTGACCTTAAAAAGGTTTCTTGTGATCATTATTTTGTACAAGTTTCTGGTCAAAATAAAATATATGGTCAAAATAAAAATAATGAAGCAAGAATTTTTAAGTAATTATTATAAGCTTACACATAAGCTTATAACTTCTGTATAATAAGCTGAAATGAAATAACATACACTCAATGCTTTATAAAGTAATAATCAATACAAGTTATTATTATTGGGGTTTATGCCTCTTAAATATTTTTATTCAGAATTCTGATAAGTTGTTCTTACTAAGAACAACAGAAGCAAATCTCTACCCACAACAATAAACTCATTACTTATTTGACCACATTATGTTCAACCTTTAAAAATGTTCATCTCTAAAAGACACAAAATGAGCCGGGCTCAGTGGCTCAGCCTGTAATCCCGCGCCTTTGGGAGGCTGAGGTGAGTGAACTGCCTGAGCCCGCAGGTTCAAGACCCGCCTGGGCAGTGAGACCTCATCTCTACAATAAATCAAAAAATCAGCCGGGCGTGGTGGCGCATGCCTGTAATTCCGGTTACTCGGAAGGCTGAGGTGGAAGGATCATGGAGCCCAGCAGGCCGAGGCTGCGGTGGCCAGGAGCGCCACTGCACTCCAGTCTGGGCGACAGAGTGACACTCCAACTCAAAAAAAAAAAAAAGACACAAAATGAAGAACAAATTGTTCTAACTATATTAGGGGAATGTAAACATTTGTTTTTATTACTATAACCCTTATTTTCTTTTTTCTCTTAAACAACCCATATCAAGTTTCACCAACATCTACTATTATTGCCTCTATAAGATGTGAAATATTGCCTAATACCATCTGCTGATAGCACCTTTCAGAATAAGGCATTAAGTTGTCAAGAAATTATAGTACATATGTAGCCTCTTATTAAATAAAATTTAAATAATTTTTCTCAACTTTTTACATGTGCCTATGTCTTTGGAAAGTTACTTTTTAAACAAATTTAGCATTGCTTATTCTGGATTATCCCCCCAAGTCAAGTATCTTAATACTAAAATGAGCAGAAGCGCCGGGCTCGGTGGCTCAGCCTGTAATCCCGTGCCTTTGGGAGGCCGAGGTGAGTGGATTGCCTGAGTCCGCGGGTTAGAGACCCGCCTGGGCAGCGAGACCTCATCTCTACAATAAATCAAAAAAATCAGCCGGGCGTGGTAGCGCACGCCTGTAATTCCGGCGACTCGGAAGGCTGAGGCAGAAGGATCGCCGGAGCCCAGCAAGTCGAGGCTGCGGTGGCCGGGAGCGGCCACTGCACTCCAGTCTGGGCGACAGAGTGAGACTCCGACTCAAAAAAAAAAAAAATGAGCAGAAGGAAGAGACTAATAAGAAGTAATCATCCAAAAACATAAACCCATAAATAATCACAAATCAATGCATTTTAGAGATTCTGCAATAAATTTCAACTTAAAGACCAATCCAAGACAAATGACAGTAGCTGTCTGAAGTACTCTGGTAAGAGAGTTTTTAAAACTAAGCCTAGCAGATACCATTTCCCATACATCAAAATGCTAGATGCTGCATGGAAGACTTTATTGTCATTGGTTAAGTGTCTTAATTCTGGGCTAAAGAACATCTGATCAAAACGCATACTAAATGATTTTGAACAAATTATATAACTCTCACAGTCTCACTTTCTTCTTCTACAAAACAAGAAGAATCTTAACTGTATCAAAAGATTACCATAAGAATAAAACATTAAAATGAAATAACATACATAAAATGCCTTGTAAAGTATAAAGTAATAAATAATCAATACAAGTTCTTATTATTGGGGTTTATGCCTCTTAAATATTTTTACTCAGAATTCTGATAAGTTGTTCTTACCAAGTTAGCAGCACTCACATTTGAAATATCTGAAGGGTCCATTTCATTTTCTATCCTTGGTTTCTCTGCTGGAGATTTGTCTTCATTTCTTTTCAAAGAAGGAGTGTCAGCTTGCTGAGTAATTGAAACACACTCTGCATCTATGTGAACAGCAGGTATTTCAGAAGTACACACACAACTGTCTTGACTACTGGCAGAATTCTTGACATCATCCAATATGCTCACTGTGAACTAACAAAACATATTTATAGAATGAATCGCAGATAATAAAAAATATTCACCAACTATTCCATTCTAGAAGAGCTGATTCTGCTTAACGTATCAACTGTGAAGCAGTACTTGGTGGATGACAGACAATTCACTCATCTTTTTTTGTGTATTTCAAGTGTAACAAAAAGGAAGAAATAATCAAGCAGCGCAAATTTTATCTGCATGCCTATTATGCATTGGACACTGACCGAAGTGCTCTAAGAAATTAAGCAATTTATAAGTAATTATATTTTCTTTTAGTAGGAAAAGTTGTGACTATTTTATATCTCTCACAAAGGGAATCTGGTCACAAGTATTATACTTTGTGTTATGCTCATACAACTAAATGTATTTACATGGTCTTTTGCGAAGACTGCATAATATCAAAAAAGGATATGCAGCACTTTTGAAAAACATAAAACCATTTTTTTACCATAATATATGTTGAGAGCATTTTACTTAAAAATATAAATGTGTTATCTTCAAACAATATTAACACAATCTCAAAGTAAAATAAATAATAAATTTCATATGGTATATGATACCAATTCTGAGATCTAAAAAATAAAAGCATGATCCACATGTGCAGATCAAAAGCATGCACTGTCTCATACTGTGATTCATATAATTTAGAGTTGGATATCCTCCCTATTCCTATTTCCTTTTAGGAATATTTAATACATAGCCAAGAGAAATGTGAAAACAACCTAAATAAACAAGCATTGGCTTGGACTAAACACAGATCCATTTTTTAAAAACTTTCTGATTTAGTAAGAGAACCAAGCCTTTATTTTTACTTTCTAATGAAGTAGGATGGTGCTGTGTTTTCTGATCACACTCCAAGTCAAATAACTAAAATCTAAAAATTGTGAATTTAAAACTCACACACTTCTTAAATAAACATTAGATAAACATTACAGTGGCCATAAAACTCCCAATTTGATTAATTATTTATACAAATATTAAACTTGGCCAACTCTTATAAACTACTTTGAAAATTCTACAATTGGTCAGAACTTAAAGTGTCCCAAACTGTTGATTTTAGCATAAGCATTATTTAAATTGTATCAAATTGTTTATATTGCTATCAACATTATTTGTATGTCTGTCATCATGGTTTATAATCTTCTTGGCAATATTTGTATTAGCATTACTTGTGTGTACAAAATAGTCAACCCTGTTTATTAAAAATTCAATATCATTTATATAAGATAATCAATACTAAACTTTAAAGTAATGTGGAGAAAAGACATAAATATGCTAATTCTATTTTTAGAATGACAGTGGAGAAAACAAATATTACCAACTTGGCTACTATTAGCAGTGAACTTTTATAATAAAAAATTTTACCAATAGTTTAAAATTATTCAAAAGTTCTATGTATGCATTATCCCTAAAATTCCAATATCATATAAATTTATTCTACACAAAACCAGCATAATATTAAGTATTATTTTTTAACTAAAACACATGTTAGCAAAAATGCCAGCTCTTTAAGTGATACAAAAAACGATTTTCTAAGTATCTTTAATGTAGCCTACCTGCATTAGAGAGTTTCTTAAAGTTACATCCAACAAATACACTATTTCCTATGTGTTTAGGACTCTGTTTCACATTGTGGGAAATTAAATAGGAATATAAGATACCACTCCCAAAGGTTTGCAATCTCAGAAGGGCATAAAATATACACACATTAAAGAGTTACAGAACATCTAAAACAATGTAAGATTAAGAACCATTATCATCAATAAAAAAGGAAGAAAGGAAATTTGAGTATTTCATAGAGGGAGGAGGAGTCCTACAGGTAAAAAGATATAATTTTTAAAAGCAGATATTCTTCTAGACTAAAAATATTATAACTACTTTACAATTGATTTACTAGCCCCTATACTATGATATCAAAAACTATCTCCTATATTTCATAACTCATTTTACATAAAATTATACCAACTGAACATGAACCTTTATATAAACAAATACCTAAAAGGTTATATTAGTTCATCAAATATGTAAAATAAACTTCAACTGGACTAACAGAAGAAATAATGGAAATATTAACTTTGAAGAATTATATTAAACGTTAGCAAAGTACACTCAACTTGCAAGAAGTAAAAGTAGAGCAAGTTCAAAATTTCATTGCTATTTTTAATAATACTCCAAATGAAGCAGGAAGACATGACCTTAACCAACTACTCAAAGTCAACAAAAACCTGAGTAAATCCATAGCACATGTCTCTTGGTGTAACACTAGAACAATCACTTTATTCCTGTCAAAAATTTAAAAATAGCTACATTGAATTATGGACAATGACCAAAGGATAACGTACAAGAAGATCTGCAATATATTCTTCAAAACAAAGAGGGTCCCCTACATACAAACAAGTTCTGTTGTAAGAGCACATTCATAAGTCTGATTTGTTTGTAAGCCCAAAAAGTTAGCCTAGGTACCCAACTAACACAATCAGCTATAAGAAGTTTATAACACTTTTCACATAAATACATAAAAAATAAACAATACTGTATAGTAAAGTACACAAAAGCACAAAAACTTGTAGAGGATGCATACACGACAATGTATGTCAGACACATGAATTAAATTACATGACTGTAAAGTTTGCAACTTGAAGGTTTGTATGTAGGTGACTTACAATACAATGTCATGAAAGACAAAGATACACTAAGGAATTGTCTCTGATGAAGATATTAGAGAAACAAAACCAACTGTATTATGTGATTCTAGACTGGATCCTAAATCGGGGGGGAAATTCTATAAAGAAATTACTGGAAACAGAAAATTGTGAAATGAACTATAAATTAAATAATCTTATATAAATGTCAAATTCCCTAACTTTTATAATTATAATACAGTTATGTATAAGAACCTCTTTGTTCTTTGGAGATACATGTTTAGTATTTAAAGGTAAAGGGTTATGATTGTACATTACTCTCAAATGTTTAGCATATAATGTGTGTGACATGCAGCAAGAGAAAAGGAAAAAAGTGGCTAATGTTAATTTGTGAATCTAGATAAACAATACAGGAGTTCACTGTTTTATTGCTGCAAATTATCTATAGATATAAAGTTTTTCACAATAAAAAGTACAAAATGAAGAAGAAAAATAGGACATTCCTGCACATACACATCTCTTTGAAAAGGCAGTAAAAGGATTTTCAGAATGTACTACCTGGGTTCTTTCAGTAAGAGGATGCTCACAAGAGTGTAATGCGTCCTTGGGACGAGATTCTATAGTATTAAAAGGTCCATCTCCAACAAATTCACCTTTCTGTGTGCTTTCATCAGGTAAAAGACACACATTTTCTTTATCACTGTCATCTTTTGACCTTAAAGCTTCTGTTGCTAATGAAATTTTTGGCATCACTGCTGTTGATCGAGAACGAACAGGCCTTCCTCTCTGAACAGTCTCCCATCCTTCAGCATCTTTGCGTTCTGTATAATTAAAGAAAACAAATCAAGATTTAGAAGATGAAAATATTTAGAAGTTTATAAAATAAAAACACTTCTCAATTTAATTCCCATTGAATATAACTAATATAAAAACATGACATTAAGTATTGTGAAAGATGCTTATACACATACACACACACACACACACACACACACGTATGTATTATGTATTTATATATACACACGAGGGAGGAACCAAAAAACAGAATTTGTTTGTTAAAAATTGTGTATTTAGTCTTACATGTTTAAACTTCAGTTACCTTCAAAGTACTCTCCATCTGATATAATATACCTATCGAGACACTTTTTCCACTGCTCAAAACAATTTTTGAACTTGTCAATTTTGATGTTTCTTGGTGCTTCTGTTATTTTTTGTTTCACCTCTTTCACATCGGCAAAACATTTCCCTTTGGGGACTTTTCTCATCCAGGAAAACAAAGAAAAAAGGTCACTCCAGGTGAGATTGTGTGAATAGGGAGGATGGGGAGCAGGGGTCATGCCGTTTTTGATCAAAAACTGCTGAACAGTCAGTGTGGTATGTATAGGTTGTTCATGTAAATCATCTATCATGAAATGAGCAAATGCCAAAAAAAAATTCACTGAAGTCGAACACAGCCTCTCACAACACTAGCTTGTATACTGATGCCAGTGGGTTCCCAGAACACTCAGCTAGCAGGGGAAGCCTGTACTACAAGGGGCCCACCCTTCAAAAGATAATTCTAGCCGGGCTCGGTGGCTCAGCCTGTAATCCCGCACTTTGGGAGGCTGAGGTGAGTGGATTGCCTGAGACCGTGGGTTCGAAACCCGCCTAGGCAACTTGGCGAGACCTCATCTCTACAATAAAACAAAAAATATTAGCCAGGCATGGTAGCGCGTGCCTGTAGTTCCAGCTACTTGGAAGGCTGAGGCGGAAGGATCGCCGGAGCCCAGCAGGTGGAGGCTGCGGTGGCCAGGATGACAGAGTGAGACTCCAACTCAAAAAAAGCAAAAAAAAAAAAAGATAATTCTGTTTGTTTGGGGTTCCTTCAGATATGTTTATATTTAAGATTTATATGTATACTTAATGTATACTTATCTCTGTTTTATCAAAGACAAAACTGAATTCAGATTAAGGCTAATTTAAGGTCATATAGTCCATAAGTAAAATAAACATTTAAATAGTGGGCATGGTGGCTCACACTTGTAATCCCAGCACTTTGGGAGGCCAAAACAGGAGTACTGCTTGAGCCCAGGAGTTAGAGACTGGCCTGGGCAACTTAGTGAGACCTCATCTCTACCAAAAAAAAAAAAAAAAAAATCAAAAAATTAGCCAGGCATGGCGGTACATGCCTGCAGTCCCAGCTATTCAGGAGGATGAGGAAGGAGGATTGTTTGAGCACAGGAGTTTGAGGCTGTGATGAGCCATTATCATGCCAATGCACTCCAGTCTGGACAAGAGAGTGAGACCCCAACTCAAAATAAACAAACAAACAGTGTTTACTATGTGTGAAGCACTTCTAAGTGCTTTATATATAAAACACCTCTTCTAATCTTTACAACAACCCTCTAACCAATAATATAAGTTCCTACTTCAAGAAACTAGAAAATGAAGAGCAAAATAAACCTAAAGCAAGCAAAAGGAAGGAAATAAAACAAAAGCAAAATTCAATGAAACTGAAAACAGGAAAACAATTAAGAAAAATCAATAAAACAAAAATTTCATTCTTTGAAAAAAATTGATAAACATCTATCAAGACTGGCAAAGATAAAAAGAAAGAAGACACAAATCACAACAGGAATGAGACAAGAACATCACTACAGATCATGCATAAATAAAAAGTATTAAGAAAAGAGTATTAGAAACTACTTACACCAATAAATTCAACAACACAGAACAGATCAATTCCACAAAAACCACAAGTTACCAAAACTCAACCCAATTGAAATAGACAACCTGAATATCCCTATAACTGTTAAAGAAATTTGATATGTAATTTAAAAGCTCCCAAAAAAAGAATCTCTAGGCACAAATGGTTTCTCTGGGAAAATCTACTAAATATTTTTTAAATTAACACCAGTTTTATGCAAACAATTTCAGAAAACAGAAAAAGAGAGAACACATTCCAAGGTATCCTAAGCTAATATTACTCTGATTTTTTTTCAAAAATCAAGACTGTACAAAAAAATTAAACTACACACCAAAATCTCTCATGATACAAAAATCTTCAACCAAATATTAGCATACCAAATACAGCACTACACAAAAATAATTATAAACCATAACCAATTAAAATGTATTTCAGGTATGCAAGCCCAATTCACCATTTGAAAATCAATGTAATCTACCACTATCTGCAGCTGGAAGCTACCAGCCTAAGCAAAGTATCACAGAAACAGAAAACTGAATACCAAATGTTCTTGCTTATAAGTAAGAGCTAAACACTGAATACATGCAAGCATAAGGATGGGAACAACAGACACTGGGGACTTCAAAAGTGAGGAGGTAGAGAGAGGGGGTAAGAGTTGAAAAACTACCCACTGAATACCTTGCCCACCACCTGAGTGACAGGCATAACAGAAGCCCAAACCTCACTATCATGCAATATACCTATATAACAAACCTACACATGTATCCTTAAACCTAAAATTTTTTAAATGTAATCCACCACTAAAAACAGGCTAAATAAGAAAAATCATATGATCATATCAATTGATACAGAAAAAGTATTTCACAAAATCCAACACCCACTTATAATAAAAACTTCCATTAAACTTTAGTAAAAATCCCAGCAACATTTTTTAATACAGATAAGCATATTCCAAAATTTACATAAGAAGACAAAGAACCTAAAATAGTCAAAAACATTTTTGCAAAAGGAAAAATAGGCCGGGTGGGATAGCTCAACTCTGTAATCCCAACACTTGGGGAGGTCAAGGTAGGAGGATCACTTGAGCCCAGGAATTTAAGAGCAGCTTGGGCAACATGGCCGAGCATGGTTATGTGTGCCTGAAACACCAGTTACTCAGGGGGCTGCGACAGGAAGATCCTTGAGTCCAGGAGTTCAAATTGCAGTGAAGCCATGATCACACAACCACACTCCAGCCTGGGTAATAGAGCAAGACCCCCAACTCTACCAAAAAAAAAAAATGAAAGGAAAAATAATAAAGTCATAGAATGAAGGCAATCACTCAACTTAATATTAAGGCTTACCCCACAGAGTAATCAAGACAGCATAGAACTGATGGAACAACAGACATAGTCAATGAAATAAAGAACCCAGAAATATGGCCTGGAAGGTTTTTTATAAAATTGCAAAAGCAATTCAACACAGAAAAAAAAGAATTTTCAACAGATAGTCATGAAGCAAGTGAGCATTCATAAGGAAAAACAAAAACCCATGACCTAAAGCTCATACTTTAAACAAAAATTAACATGTAAAACTACAAAACTTCTAAAATTTTCAGTACCTATGGCTAGGCCATGAGTTCTTAGAATTTGACAACAAAAGTATGATCCAATTCAATCTCATATCATCAAAATTGGAGATGCTTGCTGTGCAAAAAGAGCCTGTGTTATATGTAAAAGACTTAATGTAAAAAAAAACAAATAAATAACCCTATGAAGAAAAGACAACAGACTGGTAGAAAATATTCCAGAAAGGACTAGCGTCCAGAATATGGCGACTCTCAAAACTCAACAGTAACATTACAAACAATTCATGTAGAAAACAGGCAAAAGATATGAACAAACAGTTCACTGAAGAAGATATACAAATGGCAAATAAGATCACAATATTCAACATAATTAGTCATTAGAAAAATACCAATTAAAACCACAATGCACTTGTTAAAATGGCTAAAATAAAGAATTGTGATAACACTGCATGTTATGAAGACAGTGGGGGACCTTGGGTTATTAAAGGAATGATCAGTAAAAGTGCATGGAATTTCTTTTTGAGGTGAAGAAAATATAACAAAATTGACTATGGTGATTTTCGTACATATATGTGAACATACTAAAACCAATGAATCGCATACTTTAAATGGGTGAACTGTACCTCAATAAAGCTGGTATAAAAAAATTGATAGGAAGAAATATGCCAATTTCTAAAATTTATTTTTGCAAAGTTGAAAATCTATATCTATATGAAAACCATTTTCTGTGTATCATCCATCAGTGTGTCATACCATCACATGATTCACTAGAGGTAAAAAAGTTTATTACATAAGTTAGCTAGGTGACTTAACTTGTTGGCGGAGGATGCAGACGACTACTTATCTGGTTTAACACGTTGGCTGACTACTCGGCTGACTTGTTAGCTGGCTTAACATGTCGGCCATCTAGTCGGACGACTAGTTAGCTGGGTAAATTAATTGACTGACGAGTTGGCCCACAAGTTATCTCGGTTAACTAGTTGGCTGGCTATTTTGCTCACCTAACTTGTCAGCTGATTAATTGGCCGACTATTTAACTGACCTAACTAGTCGGCCCACAAGTTAGCTGACCTAACTTGTCAGCTGATCAGTTGGCCGACTAGTCGGCCGATTGGTTATATGACTTAAATAGTTGGCCTGCTAGTCAGCCGACTGTTTAGCTTACTTAACTTGTCAGCAGGCGGGTGAGTCACAGGTGAGATGACTTAACTAGTCGGTCGGCGAGTGAAAAAAAAAAAAAAAGTTTATTACAAGGGGGAAAAAACTCCACAAAATATTCATTCCTGAAACTAGTATATTAATTCACTATCCTATTTTTTTAATAGAATATGTTCTTGGCCTAGGCATAGAATTTATGACAAAACTAACAAAAACTAAAATAGACAAATAGTACTTAATTAAACTAAAAAGCTTCTGTACAGCAAAAGAAATAATCAACAGAATGAAAAGAAGACCTACTGAATGGGAGAAAATATTTGTGAATTACACCTCAGACAAAGGGCTAATATCCAGAATCTACAAGGAACTCAAACAACTCAGTACTTAAAAATAAAATTAAAAAGTGGGCA